CAACCACTTTTCATAGGATTTATCTTCCAAGCCACTTGCTATCTATCTATCTATCTATCTATCTATCTATCTATCTATCTATCTATCTATCTATCTATCTATCTATCTTCCCTCCCTCCCTCCCTTCCTTTCTCTCTCTCTCTCTCTCTTCCATCCATCCATCCGTCCGTCCGTCCGTCTATCAAAATTGGTCACTGCCCATCTCGTTAAAAAACGACTCTGGGCAGTTTGCAGAGAAGCTAAAATCAATTAAAAATGCAATATAAAATAGTCCTGAATAAATAATAAATAAATATAGTCCAAGAATTGATACTGATTGGCAAGTAGCTCGGGGAACGTCATCAGGGAGCCAGCCACCCCCAGGACTGATTAAGATTCTTGTTGCCCCACGCAAGCTGGCAGATTATTGCTCTTCTCTGCACAATCTGCACTATCGTTTGAAGGTTCCTCGTATTTTAGTAGATGTTCCAGCCCAGTAGAATTCTCTGGTTCCACTGGGAGAGAAAGAGAATGAGGCTGTTTGTTGGATTTCTGTGACTGGCTTCAGCAGCTCTGTGTAAAAATGCTGAACATTTATGTATTTACTTACAGGGTTTATATGCCTCTCCAATCAAAACTGACTGAGTGGCTTACAGACCATATTTACATAAATAAGGTTAAAAGTACAAAGTCTAAAACATAAATAACAACACAGTACAAAATACAGTGCCAGAGAAAGAACAGAACAGTACATTCATTAATCTCCACATTGCAGGAGGGAGCAGATCACAACATTCCCACCTCAAGGCCTATTGAAGAAACCAGCTTTTGTGGCCTTTCTGAAATCCAGCAGCGTGATGGCCATCTAGATCTCAGAGAGAATGCTGTTCCAAAGGGAGGAGGGGCAGCAGTTGAAAAGGCCCAATTCCAGAGCCCCTTTCTGAGTGAAGGGACTTGAAGTGTACCCCTTCTGTGAGATCTTACCAGGTCGAGTCTGTTGGGAGAAGGTGGTGCTGAAGATATCCACCCAATAGACTATGAGCCAATGTAGCATCGTGGTTGAGGTATTGGACTGGGAAGATCCAATTTAAATGCTCACTTGACCATGAGGTGTACTCATGGGGTTAGTGTTGGATGATAAAAAGAAGGGTGTTTGATCCTGACCAAATTGTATGCCTGGCAGCCCCTGTGAAGGGATAATCAAAACTTGGAAGAACTGAGCGCTAAGAACAGTAAAGAGTTAATGAACAAATTTCACCTTCTTATAAAATGTTATGCGAACATTATGCAAAGGTTTTTAAAAAGGGTTGAATGATAATGAATCTGTTGTAAAGAAGGAAGAAGATCCAGTTCAGAAGTCTCAAACTCTTGCAGTTAAGGGAACTGGATACTTTCCTCTGAATTTGGAGGAAATATTCTGAATATCTCATGGGATGAACTCATGCTTTTTAAAGGCACTTTAGCTACTAAGTAATAATTCATCACGTGCACTTCTTTTCTTGTGCAGATGTCTAGATGTGATGGGACTCCACTTCTTCTCCTTTATTTGTATATACCATGAATAAGCTGTATGGAACGCTTGCACCAAGTAATGAAAATGGCTAAACTTCAATCTTTAACAAAACTGTCTTTTCTTTTGGCAGATATTGATGAGTGTGAGACACCAGGAATATGCATGAATGGACGCTGTGTGAACACCGATGGTTCTTTCAGATGCGAATGCTTTCCGGGCCTTGCTGTGGGGTTGGATGGACGTGTGTGCGTTGGTAAGACAAAGTCAATGTTGACAGTTATGGTTCAGTGCTCAGTTGTTAGTCTTGAAAAGCTCTAGAGCAGTATTTTCAAATCAGGTGCCCCTCAAATGTGTTGGGACTTCAATTCTCAGTCAGCGTGGGCTAGAAATTCGGGATGTTGATATTCCAACATGTCTAAAAGGTACTAGTTGTGGAAGGTTGCCCTTCTCTGTAATGTGTAAGCCAGCTCAGGCAGAAAGATGATACACCAGGATTTGCCTTAAATGACTCTTCATGAGAACTACATCCTATAAGGAAGCTATCAGGAATGCAGTTTTGAGTTTCTTTTCTGAAGATGATGCATGATTATCAGTTGTGAAAGTTGTATCTTTGGTTCACTTTCAGCATCATATGTTAATAAACATGGACATTTTGGCTTTCTGACTGAAACCATTTAAGAATTGATTTCCTGCCTGAAGAACATTCCTCCTTTTTCATGTGTTTACCCAGCGTTCCTGAGAATAGAGTGCCAATGTGTTTACATAGATGCTGAATCCCATTCACTGTGCAATTGGATGTTTATTAGAAGCTTCCTCCAACTTAACTTGATAGGACTAAAAAGGAAATAAAACAATGAGCAATTAGCCAGCAATAGGAATACAGCAATTAAAATGTTCTCTCTCCCCCTCTGGGTGAGGAATTTCCTAATTTAGTGCAGTACAGGAATGCCATTGCTGTTTTGAACAGGAAAAAGAAATGAATTGCCCTGTTAAAAGTATAGGAGAGTGTAGGAAATCATTAATAAAAGGGTCAGCAGCTCTGAAAGTCTCCGCTGCTCCGTGCAGGTTATGCTGAACGGTGGTGATTCCGATCCCAAACCAGCAGAGGGGCAACATACCATATAATGGGTAGCCAAGGTTGTTTGAATCTGCCTAAAAATGGACTTACCAAATTATATTCATTCCAAAAGCTATTTGTGAATCAACAGTGCATTCCAAATCACTGTTTTTAAAATAAATGTAAGATGGCATGCCTGACCTAAGTCCTAGGACATGTAGTGACTTTCCATCAAATTAACATACCTTAGCAAATGGCAACCCGATTAAGTCCCTTTCGTATTTTTAGCCTTTGACAGGCTGGCAAAGTAATGAAGAAGAATTGTTTTATGAAGCGGAGTGTGAATTGTTCAGAGAAGTTATAACTCTAGTCAGGTTGAAACATCTAAAGCGAAGATAAATGGCTTCTGACAGTTTTTCTGTAGCTGGGGTAATCCAAAGTTGGTCACTGTTAGTATTCCCCAGTTTGGATTAATCCTGTTTGAGAAATCATGACCTATGGGGAAAATAAAAAAAATCATTTACTTGGCAGAAATGAATATTTTCCACACATGAGAATTTAGCAGCTAAATGTAAACGGGGAAGGTATTAGTGAATAGTGGAAAGAGATTAATCCTTTGGGAATGAGTCTTAGGTGAAAAAAAATCCCTGGTATCTGGTAACTTGGACGGCTAAAATTTGGTGGTGGTTCTTAGGGATTCTTTGATAAAAGTACTTTTAAATTGTCAGCATATGACTTTAGGGGCACCTTCCTTGGCACTATTTAAAATAGACGCCCTCGACTTGTGTTCAGCATCAGGTGACCACATCTGCATAATGTTCTTGGCAGCAGAAAGAGTGTGCCATGGCCTTCTCCAAAGATGTTCTTCTGACTGGAGCAGCCTGGAGTTCCCAGGTGGTTCCCCATCCAGATAGTTACCAGGGCTAGCCTTGTTTAGCTTCTTGGATCAGTCTAGGTTAGTTAAATGCTGCCACCTGCTGCAGCTTTCCAGCACACATTTACCAGGAGTAATTCTGTTGAGTTTCGTGAGAAAACATGACTAGACTTGGGCTGAAACAATGCATGGCATCTATATGCTAGACACAAAAGGAATCTGACTGTATGGTGCAAGGCTGGGGAATGTTGGGTTCTGCAGAAATTACTGAACTACAGTTTACCCACAACTGTAGCTAGCAGTGGTGAGGGATAATGAAGGTGGGGATTTAGCCGTATCTGAAACATAGCCTCTCCACTCCTGGTTTAGCAGATATGAAGAGCTTTTTGAATCGGAGGAAGACGGTTGCTCAAAATAAATGTCTAAAGATTAATTTTTTAAAGAAATTAAAAACACTTTGAGAAAAATAATAAAATGGAGGCTATTTGTCTCTTGAACCATTCCTGAATCACTGGGAGGAAATGTGTGTGTGGAGGGGCAGCCCAGCTATTAAATCCACCTTCTCCTAGAATTCCCAATCAGCAACTTCAGTGAGCATTCTGGCCAGTGAATTATAAGAAGTCTAACACATCTGGAGGTTGGGGAAGAAGGGTCTGTGTTGAATAATCTCTCCCATAACTATTAAGCAGCATAGACAATGACAAGACTGAACTGGGACTGAGAGGCAAAGTCCAGTACATCTGGAAAGTACAGAGTTGCTGAAAATTGTTTTACAAAGCTTAAAACTTGCTCTTCGTGATCACTATTTTTCTCCCCTCCCCCCATCATTGTGATGGCATTACAGGTGGTCCTCGTTTAGCGACCACAATTGGGACCGGCAGCTCAGTTGTTAACTGAAGTGGTTGCTGAGTGAAACCGTGACTGTGCTTATGATCTTACTTCAGCTTTCCTTTGCTTTACACACCTGCGAAGGTTGTAATATGAGGATTGGTTACTTTTTCATCACCATCATAACTACAAAAGATCACTAAACGGGGCAGTCACTAAATGAGAATTCCTGTATTCCTGTTGAATGTTTTTGACAGCTATCTGACTGTTTTTTTTTTAATCTCTCTCATTCAGATACCCATATGCGAAGCACATGCTATGGTGAATACAGAAGAGGTCAATGTGTTAAACCATTATCTGGCGCAGTAACTAAATCCGAATGTTGTTGTGCAAGCACAGATTATGCATTTGGGGAACCTTGCCAACCTTGTCCCGCACAAAACTCAGGTATAGTGTGATTTACCCACCATGAGATTCAAACCACTTATTTGTCATTTTTAAAGATGTTCACAATTGCTAGAATAGAATTCATACAGAGATGCTAGCAATGATCTGAATTATTCTCTTTGGACAAAAGATTGAGAGTCTGAAAACTGGAAATTTCTAACAAATGCTACTGTGTATTTTTTTAAAAATAATTCTTTTAATTTAAAAAATGTGTTACTTTGTTCAGTAGCAGACAATAAAACCTTTTTTTTTTTTACTGCATGTTCTCAGGTTCACCTTGAATTTTGTGAACTTTTTATTGTACTTATGATTTTGGCATTTCTTTAAGTAGCCCTTTCTAAAATGTTGCACATACAAGCACACCTGCCAAACCTGTGGTGTGTTTATTGTACCTGGGGCAAAAATGTATTTTGTGGAAAAACTTTCCTATATAATGACAAATTGCTCTAGAACAGATGTGCAAAAATCTTTATAATATAGTAGCTGATGAGGCTCAGGAGGATAATAATTAAATGGCATTGATGTGTATAAAGTATCAGGGATTGTAAATTTTTCACACCCGTAATGGATATGATAGAGGAAATAAAGGATAAATGGGAAATTATATCATTATATAACAAGTTTTTTAGGCTCATAGAACTCGACAAATATTGTAAATATTCTCAAATATATGTTTGCAAATTGTAGATGTAATCCGTCCTCCCCCGACTCCCCAAATTGGAATCTCTGCTCAGACTGTGGTTACTGAAACACCGCTAAAGTTTCTTGGCCCAATCTCTCATGAAAAAAATGTTCTGGAATGTTTAGCCCAGAAATTGGTGTACTGTTTCTTTTTTTTTTTTTTTAAGAAAAGGTATCATGAGAAGCCTGTACATTTTTAACCTTTATTTTAGCTGGCAGTTCTGAGGAGGAGACAGAGAATGAAGATCACTTGAAGCAAATTAAACTGGCTTTAATCAATGTGCAGACTTGAAAGAAAGGCTGTTACAGAATGCCATGTTAGTTCAAACAGCAAGAAAGATTCTGGAGAGCTATCAGAGCAGGGAGAGGTCTGCTGCTATCAGCTCTCCTTTTTTAAAACTGTGCAATTGAGCTGAAACATTTTGCAAATGCAAATGGCCCCATGCCACTGACTTCTGTTTTGCATTTGAATTAATTTCACAGAACATTTCCACATGTGGAAGCTTTTTTTCCCTCTGGGCTGTTTTCAGCACCTTTCCTATTGCTTGAGAATGGAGGGTAGATTATAAGGCAGCTTTCAACTTTTAATTTTTGGGGTGATGCGGGCTGGAAATAGAGGGTTTTCTTGTTCTTTTACTTGTAGAGGGCGCTTATTGTTATATAATGTATAGCTCTTGAGAGGGACATTTTCCTGTGGCCAGTCTGGTGCTTTTCTTCTCTGCAGTCTAAGAGTTTTAGTCTTCGTACATCTTTTCTGTTCGCTGGATGTGTTAGGTAGGTTTTTCCTCCACGTTAGCTCTCCGTTTAGGTTTCAGAGTGGGTTACCAGTTTCATTTGCCGAGATGTAAGTGGCCATTGTTAATATAAAGCTGTGGCTGCCTGCAGTTCCAATGGCATTGTTTTTGCAATTTCTGTGAAATGAAAAGCTATGCTCATTTCAGTAGCTTCTGCCAGAGCTACTGAACATTCCTGTATGTCATGCTAAGCTGTCATGTGACGTTTCTAGCTTAGTATGATGTTCAACCCACCCATTATAACTTAGTGTTATGTGAAGGCTAGATTGATGTGGCTTGCTCAATCATGGTTGAAAGCAGTGTGGACTAGCACAGTCTTTCTCTGACCACTATGAATCTTCCAGTCTTAAACTCTTAGAAGTGGTAGGAGACTAACCTGTTCCAATACAGTTGTATTCCAACATCATGAAATTATAAATGTCAGCGTGTTTACTTGGTAGCATGTCCCGCTGAGGTCAGTATGTCCCATTACTCCAAAATCAGCTTGTAGAAGATCGTAGAATATTCTGGAAGAAGTCAGGAGCAAACCATTTCCCCAATTCTGCCATGTAAACTGCATGGTATGCCAACTCAAAGACCTCTGTACTTTTATTAACATATTCTAAATCTCTTACCTAATTTGCTTATTCTCTTCCAGAGGAATATAATGGTCTTTGTAGCAGTGGCCCAGGAATTACAGCAACAGGAAATGGTAAGATTATACTTGAATTTCATGCAAAATTTGTGTAAAGGAGTATGCAATGGCATTTTCAGGAAATGTTCTAAAGAAAAGATTGGATAAATTAATTTACTGATTGTTCTGATGGGTTAAAAGAATCACTCATATCTGTTACTGTTTTGTGCAGATATCAATGAATGCGCATTGGATCCTGACATTTGTCCAAATGGAATCTGTGAAAATCTGCGTGGAACATACAAATGCATATGTAATTTTGGGTACGAAGTGGATTCCACCGGGAAAAACTGTTTAGGTATGAAGTTTTCGATATTTCTCTAGCACACTCCCAAATGGTAGTTCATCATCTTTATATTAGTTCCAACTAGTACTTACCATTTGCTTTTCTTGTTTCCACCTGTCATTTTAGTTTTCTTCTCATCTTCCTGATCCCATGGAGCCGCTACCAAGGCAACAGTCAGATAAGAGATAAGCCCCTCTTATCTGACTGTTGCCTTGGTAGCGGCTCTTCCTCCTGTCCTTCAAGGCCATTCCCTATGCTGTCTACAGCATGATGACTCATTTTAAGATCCTTACAACTTCTACTGGACACCTATAGTATGGCTCTGCGCCATGAAAAAGTTATCAGTTTTGACCTAGACGTATTGTGAATGTTTTGGTCTATCTATTTCTGGAGTTTGTGCCTCAGTTCCCGGATCAAATCTCTTAGAGCAGTTGTATTGCTTTCCAGCAGGCCACACTGATAAAATGTTGCATCCAGACAAAATGTTGAGCTTAATGAAATTTGTTTTTAAAAATATATTTATATACTGCCACATAATATAAGGTACACTGGATTACTTTGGAGTTTTTTGAGGAGTCCACATGATACTGCCTTCCCTTTGGAACTCTTTCGTTTTCTCATGACTTCATCTTTTTATCTCACTGAAGAAAAATATCTTTTAAGGGAAAAACATGGAATAGCTCCATGAAATCTTGGATAATGCTTGAAATACCCATTTTCCTTGCCATCGGCAGAAGGTTTTGAACTTGTTGTGCAAAGCACAGATATTGCAGGTAGTTGTCCCATCTCCATCTCCATTGACTTTGAATTTGATTTTAATCAAAACATTCTAATTATGCTACATGGAAAAGCATCCCTAATAGTGAAATCTATTCACTTCCTTAAATAGACATTTATTTTACAACTTCATAGGAAAGAAAAAGACATTAGTGCCATTGAAGCATATTATTTTTGCAGACATTGATGAATTATTTTAATTATTTTTGCAGACATTGATGAATGTACCGTGAATAGGTTGCTTTGTGACAATGGGCAATGCAGGAACACCCCTGGAAGTTTCACCTGTACTTGCCCCAAGGGATTTGTGTATAAACCTGATCTGCAAACATGTGAAGGTAATGGAAAGCCTCCATTTTCTTTCCAGAAATTCTGCCTCTTTTTTTTTCTTTTTTTTCCCAAATCTTGCTAAAATCACCCTATCTCTGCAGTTATATTTGGATTGTATTGTACACAGATTTATTTGCCAACATTAGGGATACATTCCATTTAAGGTAGATGAGACTCTTTTATTTTTATAAGGGTGTTTCTAGACTGAACTTTCCAGTTCAGCTTATCAGCTCATGAATTTAAAATCAGTTTTCCCTACAAGGGCTGGTTGTCATGAGATCCCTGAGAATTTGAATATAGATGATACAGAAATAAACAAAGAAAGTTATATATAATTTCTTTTCAAATGATATTTTGAGTGAGAGTTTACTGCTGGATGTTTGATATTCTCAGAAGGGGTCTGTTGGTTGGTACCTCCTGTGCTGGTAAAGCAGCAGAAAAACATTTTGACAGTCAGTAGCAGACAATGTCAAGATTTCAGTTTAAAATACAGGGGGAGCCATGGACCTCATGGACTTAATTGAAGAAAACTGCTTTCATTTTACATTGGTGCTCTAATTTTAAAATGGGATCAAATTTACAGGCGACAGTTGCTCCTTATATGGTTGTTACAGAATTATTATACGTTTTAGGTTAATTCTGTTCACTTTATGCATATAGCATATTCCCCATTCTAAAGTTTAAAATTATGGAGTTAAAGTGTTTTTGATAGTATCCAGGTGATTTAGTCCAGAACCTCAGATGAGTTATGATAGAGGCAAGGAGTTCTTTGTTTGCAGGTTGCCTTGTCTATAAGTTGAAAACAAGTGTGTATGGGTGTATGGCGTGCTCGGAGCAATAGGCCCTTGCTATTGATTGGGAATCACAGGTGACAAACAATTTCTACAGGCAGAATGCTTGAGATCCATGAATAGTAGCTGTCATCATCCTGGGCCAAGCCAGCCAAGGGTTGGGGTTCCATATTCTCTGCTGAGCAGGAAAAATATATTGTTTCTAGATAATCAAACAGAGCACTTCTCTCAAACCTTCGTGTCCCTTCTGGCCATTCAAATTTGTTTTTTTCTCTTCTAGATATTAATGAATGCGAGTCCAGCCCCTGTATCAACGGCGTGTGTAAAAATACTCCTGGCTCTTTTGTCTGTGAATGTTCCCCTGAAAGCTCTTTGGATGCTACAAAAACTGTCTGCATTGGTAATTTATTCCTCTGAGCATTCTACTTTTCAACCATTCCTGTCAGCTAGAAACATCTTTGATGTCATCAATATGCAAATATAATATTATAGTTAAAACCTTGCCAGAGAACCTAGGTTGTATGTGACTCCAGAAGTTCCAGGTATGACTCTGGTCACTTGCAAAAGCTGCTTCCAAATTGTAATGATTAACAGAAGAAATAAATTATTAAATACGTGAGGATTGCAGTTGCAGAAATTGTTCAGAGCAAATCAATAGATAAATGGAGACTGTTGAGACATACCTGTGCTAAAAAGGTAGCCACTTTATTAAGTCTCCATAGTTGTGAAGAGATGGCAAGGAGTCTGGTTTGATGCTGCCCAAGCTCATTGTTATAACTGAATTGGAGAAGGCATAAGGACGGTGAAAGAATGCTTGTTAGGAAAATGAAGATGAAATTTAATCTTTAGAGTGTGGTAATGGCACACCTCACTAGTTTGGGTCATTATGAGGATAATTGAACTAGCATTCTTTTTGCACATTGGAGCAACATCAAGTAGCTTCTTGATCATGCATTCTGTTATGGTGCTCTGTTTCTTTATCCTAACAGAGACAGTCAAAGGCACTTGTTGGCAGACCATTGTGAATGGGAGATGTGAAATAAATATAAATGGGGCCACTCTAAAATCTCAGTGCTGTTCCTCGCTGGGTGCTGCTTGGGGCAGTCCCTGTGTCCCATGTGAAAAAGGTGAGACCTTTCTGCTGCATTCTTGCAAATGATTATCTGCTGCATGAGGGGAAAGCATGCTGCAAGGAGGATGAAGTAATTCCTGAATCATGTCTTGTCAGTGTATGTTTTTAGCAGAAGAGTGCCAGAAAGTTGAAGCCCTTTAGTCTTGTTCTTTCTTCTAGCTGCTGAAATCAACTGGGTGCCTTCTCGGCTTATGGAGACAGTTCTCAGGAACTCTACAATTAAATATTATGATATTGATTAATTGATTATGTACCATCAAGTTGGTGTTGATTCTTAACAACCAGATAGATAGAAAGATAGATATTAGTTAATCTAATCAGAAGGAAATGTTTCTTACCTTAAACGTTGCAGCATGCCTTGTAGATACAGTGAGTGTCCATACAGCATTCTTGGAGATTGTGTAATATACTACAGTGAGCTTTCCATTAGCAAACTTTACCACAGTTTATCATGACTAGTCCTTTTGTTATTGCACCTTTAACTTGGACGCAAGGATATAATTGTAGAAATTACAGTCCCACAAAAATTAGGAACTACTTCTGATTAAATATAATGGGTTTTTTCCAAGAAAACAATATTGTCCTGATTATCACTGTTAGAGTACTTTGTTCCTCTTGTAACCCTTTTCCTTCCTTAATCATTATAAATTGTAATTTATTTAGAAGTTTTCATGCATAGAAGATCTATGTTTCAGGTGTCATTTCTTCTCCAACTAAATTTGTGTTCTGAGTGACATTCTTCTCATTTGCTTTAGATCCAATATGTTCAACAGGATATTCAAGGATAAGAGGAAATCAGTGTGAAGGTATGTATTCTTGCACTGGCATATGAAACAGAATAACCCAATGTGGGCAATGGAGAATAAAAAAAATGATAATTCTGTCCACATATCTTAATTAGTGCATTGAGAATGTTTGCTTTTGAACCATTTTTAGCATGGAATTTCACAGAACTCCCTGTTTCAACAACGAGAGTGTAATGTTTCAAGTACAAAATAGGCCATTGCATCTCAGAAGACTTCTGTTTCAGAAGAGTCCTGTTTTGTTTCAAGCTCAGAACACTACCAGAAATGCTGTTTGTGCTTGAGATGGCCATTCTATTAACTTTCACACTCAGAACAGTTTGAAATGAAATGTTTTGTGCAGTTTTAGTTCCTGAGTAATCCTTAAAAATCTTTCACTTAGAAGAAAGCAGGATAAACTGATTAAATTATGTTCAGATTACTAGTAACAAAAGCAGTTTTATAGGCCAATGTTGCATTTAGATCAATATGTTCTTTGCAACATATATGGAGCAAATGGTTTTCTTTTTTACTGGTAGAATAACTATCCAAAATACTTCTTGTAGTGGCAAACGTTAATCATAACGAAATGTGGCAGACCAAATAGAACTGTAAGATTATTTATACATTTTAACATCCATTCATACATCCATGGGGAGGGGAGGGGGAAAAGAAAACTTGGACAGTATCCAGTATAAATACTTATTTTAGCTCTGATCAATGTAACTAAGGCTATCTCATATCTCATATGCCAATAATATGAAACTGGAGATGTCTTGTTCTCCACTACTCATAGGCAAATTGAAGTCTTCAACTTCTACCTTTCTTTAATCTGAAAATTATTATTTAAATTGGGAATATGATGTATACAGATAGAGATAAGCATAAATGTCTGAGGCATTATATATG